GTAATAGGCTAAGTCACAATCGACTCGCCTTTTGTACTAATGCGGGATGATTTTTACATACTTGCGAGAAAGCCTAAGCGAGTGGTACTAGTACTATTCAGGCTACCGTTTGTCAAACTCTATTATGAGGGAATACGTGAAACTACACTGAAAAAAATTTCTGGTTGAATATGGACGAATCAGATAATTCCTTTAGGATTTACCAGAATTCCTGTAATCCTACAGAAATTCTGGTAAATCCTAAAGGAATTCTGGTAAATCCTAAAGGAATTATCTGATTCGTCCATATTCAACCAGAAATTTTTTTCAGTGTAGGGGCATTAACAATATTTAATAAGGCCCCGACGTGACAATAGTAGGGTATCCCTCTTTAAGGAATCCTTATCGGTGCCTTTAACTGCTTGAATTAGCCCTGACATTTTTTTACTCGGGTACTTCTACTTAAAAAATAACAAGAAAACGAAATTGCATAAAAATTGAGGCGCATTGACATTCCTCTACTTCTGATCTACTTTTAAATTGGGAAGATCTATTTAAAATCACGCGTGTTCGTGTAACGAAAAAAGCTGGATCTTACTAATTACAGTAATTAATAGAATGTACTCGGCCGACTTGTGTTACATTAACATCACCGAAGTGAACGTGAATCGGGCAAAAGCGAGGGATCGCGCCTTCCGTGGTCCGTTTGATCATGATCGTTTGACGATGGCACCAAAGAGACCTCGAGAACCATCCCGCTGACAAGACAGACCGTCGGAAATAGGAGCAGCAGATGGAGAAAGGAGGAGAGTGATCTGTTCGAGGAGGTGCGTCGTACCAAGAAATCGGTACGTCGATAGCAATCGCTTTGTAATCACTGCATCAGTTATACAATTATCCGAGCTACATGAGACGCTACGTATTATCATTAATAACTTGCAAATATCCTCGATACTGTGTTGAGTGTTGCAAGGACTGTCAACTGACGTGTCTCATTGGCACGCGGTACTGCTCATAATTTTTCCAACGACAAACATTTTATACTTTAAATTAAAAATGTAAACAGGCCAATAAAAAGAACGAGCCAAGTGAAGGTAACAGAATGATAATGTACATTTGAGAGTATAAAACCGCGAACGTTTACGACATTTACAAATATAATCTCGCTAATATTATTGCGAAGTTATTTTCTTAGGCATTGAATACAATTTTATTAATAACATGTTTATTGATTAGAAAGTAGCGCTCTTTAAACTACGTTTCCTATAAACGAAAAGGACGTGCGAAAGAAAAGACGTGGAATAAAATGTCAGCGGAAACAATGGTGAAATTAGTTGAACAAGTGTAAAATGTTTGCAAAGCAGTAATCAAGGCAAAGGGTTAGCACATTGATGAATATTATTTAAATAAGAATTAATAAGTAATCTTTTAATCAACTATTATTACGTTACATTTAATCTACTAGCTTATCATGTAGAACAGTTTTCATTAATAAATATTAGTTTTCCGTGATATAACCCTCTATGTTTTAATTCTTCGAGTCGTTTAAATAGTTACGAGCGGTACTGTACACGTAAAGTACAGCGAACTGTAATTTGCAAGTTAAAATAGCCAATGATATAACATTAATTAAAGGACGATTTAATAAATGCGCGTGAAAAACGGTAGTTAACGGTGGTAACAGACGCGCGATCTTTAATTATGTATTTTTGCCGAAATGAATCGAGAGAAGTCCGCGAAACTAATCCACAGGGGCCGCACAACAATAACGACAGAGAAAAACAGATAACGACAGAGATAAATTTCAACGTAGCTCTCGGTTACCAACGTAAAGTACATAATGTCACTAAGTACTGGCTGAAAATTTTAGTTGAAAAATAAACGCGAAGATGTCATCATAAGTACTGCTTATTGCGATAAATATTGCCACGTGCCTCAGTGGTCGAATTGGTGAGACGTCCGCCGAGAGCGTAGGGAGGTCCAGGTTCAAACCCTGACTGAGGTAATATTTTTCGCAATAACTTTTCTCTGTGATAAAAAAACGCGTTGCCCAGTTATGGTAGATTGGAAGCTTAATTGTTGCTAGTCGTGCACTGGCGTCAAATAATTCTTGATGTTATGAAATTTTAATTACACCATAAATGAAACTTAGGGTTTCACTTTCCGTATACCGGGCTCGCGGTACACAAGGGGGAATCGGGCGTTCGCGACTAATCTAAATTCGCAAACTGTTTTTGAACAACGTTTGCCGATAATGTTGGCGGACCTAACCCGTGCCGCGCGGCGGCGGTTCTCTCCCTTAAATGATCTCTGTAATACGACCGCGTCGCGGTAGATTACAGGCAATTACACCCGTCGTTCAGACGAATCGTAGCCGCGTAGCTGGAGGTTGGCGCGGGTTATTTGGCGTCCCCGAGGGCAGTCCTGTGCAATCCAGGAACTTCAATATTTGGTATAGGTATACCCCCTGTATACCATCGGGATAGTCTTCGAACCGGTTTCCCCGTGTGCGGGCTTGATGACGTGCAAATTGGGTTACTCGCCCACGGGAATCGCATAATTGAATTTCGTCAGGTGTGCTTATTATCGAGCACACCTTCCAGTCGAACACCGCGCGATAGAATCGAGATTTTCGCTGCCCGATCCGCGCTATCCTTTCTCGGCCGGTAAACGCGGCGGGCAGATCAATACGTCACGTTAGACAGGACCACCGCGTGCATCTGCTTGAGCAGCGAATTTATACGAGCTTATCGTAAAATCCGTCGAAGCAATATCCATCAAATTGTCAATTTATCCCCGATTACCCTTGATTAGGATAAATCAACGTCGTGAAAACGCCGTCTGGAAATCGTCGCCTTGATACCAGTTTACTTCAACCGCCACAAAAGAGATCCGTACATTTTTTAACAACTATTTAAGGGCTTGTAAAGTAAGTGTCGTCCTCCCCCGCCGGCCTGCCTGGCGCGCTACACGAGTCTCCACTTTGTAAGTTCCTTCTGCGCAGGAAGTCCTATGTAATTCACTAGCGCCACTTGTAGCAATATACCGCCTTCATCTATCCAGGAAACGTTCCTCCAGCCTGTTCGTACTCGCAGGAAATATTCTGTAGACGCGGCGCGTTCGCTATAGCTAGGGGTGGCATTTTCATGTTATCTTTATACGCAAAATATCGCGAAATGCCCCAGGGACGTTTTTAATGTCGTTTCTTTAAATTTTCGAGTCCCCTACTTCGTTTTAACACGTTTTTAAAACGCAAAATAACGCACAATGACCCGCAAACACGTAAAATAGCGTCCAAATAACGTCAAAAATCGCAATTTTCCTTAGTGAACATTTTTAACGTCAATGTTGTGTCACTTGTATCAGAGAAAAGGGTTGAAAATTATTCAAAATCAACTCTGCAAGTAAATTATTATATTTGAAGGATTACCTTTTTCTTGTTACTTTGACGTCAATAATTTTGCTAGAGATTGTGAAATGTTACCACTCAGTTCTTTTTGTTCAATTTTAGGGCTAAACCAAAGAGATTTATGCCTTTAGTTTACTTTTTTAGACATGTTACTGCTTTTATAGCCTGAAAATGATATGTAATTTCAGTAATTTGTTCCTCGCTATTTTAATATGTTATGTTTTATGTTGCATTTTTAACATATGCTTAGCTTTAATAAATGTCGTAAATTCTTCTGTCAAACCATTAAGGTCCGGTTTCACCGACGTTGTTTAGTTTTAAGCTTAGCTTAATTCGTTCTTTGTCTCTTTCTAAAGTAACAGTTGGAAAGGGACAAAGAACGAATTAAACCAAGTTTAAAGTTAAGCGACGTTGGTGAAACCGGGCCTAAGTCGTCTTACTGAAGCCCCGTCCACCTCTGATCACGGCAAAATCTGGTAAAACAAGACGCAAGAGGTGGCAAAAAATAACATCAAAATGTCACACCTCTAGCTATAGCTCCCTATCTCGTAAGCGCAACGGCAGATAAGCGGAGTAAGAACTTCGCCTTGACCCGAGTTTACGCGACATCCGACATTATTTCGTTATAATTAGAAATATTTATCAGACACGAAAAAAATTACCGCGCCCACCCAAGTTCGTAGATTATTTTTATCGAACACGCAGTGGGTTTAAATGAGCGCGACGCACACTTTACGGCCCGTATTTATTATCGTTTCTCAATTCTCGTCTCAGGAGTACATCAAGCGAGATACTCAGATTGGAGTTTCATGCCTTGAGGTACGGACGGTTCAATAGTTACATTTTGATTAAAGATCAACTGAAACTGTATTCAGCTGAAAAGGGGACCGATTACTCACCTGGAATTCGCCTTGTGAGTCGAGACTTCGATCAAAGCGGCGATACGCAATGAGCGACACGCAATTTTTCCCGACTCAAATCTCTTAGATGAGACGACGTCGGAAAACTATTTTCTAAAACTTCCCTTGAGAATCTCTATTGAATCGAGTTTACAAACAAAACTATCAAATTCCGTCGCAAGGTTTCGTCTATTAAATTCGTCTATTAAACAGCATCATGTCGCAAGTCTGGTTTTAGCTGAGTTTTTCAGCAGAATCACGACTACAAATACGGATCTGTGTGTGTGTGTGAATAAAACAAGAGCGCTCTGTGCAAGCGCGTGTGTGCCCTCATGTTGTCTGAGTTGCTGAATTGAAATGTGCGGTAAACAGCGCTAATAAGTTTGATGCGGAGAATCAACAAGCGCGATAAGGTAAGCAGAGATTGCGCCAAATCAGGCTTGCGAATACAAGCAATGGCGCAATACAGTAAGAGTCGCCTTGCCGTATTGCAGTCCTTAATTACGTAACGCGGTAACGGCACAGGGGACGTTTGACGGGAGTTCCGGGCGACCGGATAACGACCAGCCCTTGCCGGCATGCGCGCAGCGGGGGGCGGCCAAAGCGGGGGTCGCGAGGGAAAGAATGAGAGTAGACGCGAAAGTAGCTGTGTCAGGAGTCATAAACTTGTCAACTATAAATAATGCGATGTAAACAGCGGAGCGCACTCCTCGCTCGCCTCCGCCGGCCTGTCTGATAAAGAGAACCCACGCGACGCGACCGAGTCCTCCTCCGCGGCGCAAGAACCGGGAGTTCCGAGACTGCGTTTCGAAAGCCATTATCCTCCAGCCGTAAGAGACCGGGGAGGACGGTACCGCGTTCCCGTGACGTAACCCTATTTCGTTCCATTTAAGTTAGCTCTCAGCCTCCACGGTTTCGGCATCGCTCGCCTAACGACGCGTCCGGGGGATCGCCGCTCTGAGATTCGGGCACGCAACAGTTTTCGTCTACGTTGAATCGCCCGGCGCGAAGCCTGTAACCGAGTTTACCAGCTAAGTGTGTGACTTGTAATAATTGTTATCAGCGAAACGTCTTTTTTTAACGGTACGTATGAATATGAATAAACGCGAACGGGGATCGAAAAGCAGAGACGAACTCTCTCTTTTCGCAGCTAAGGGCCTGCGCCCGCGACGCTAGAACCTAGTTCTAGATTCGAGAAATATGTAGCCAATCAACTTGCAGCTGTTCCATAAAAGCTTTAGCTGCGAAAAGGGACGGTTCACCTCTGTTGTAAAAATGTGTAGCCAATCAACTAGCAGCTTTTATGGGATAGCTGCAAGTTGATTGGCTACACGTTTCTCGAAACTGGAACTTGGACCGAGCTCTAGCATCGTGGACCCAGGCCTTGGCAAATATAAGCCAGTCTCACGTCGACTTCAAGTTGATCGTTACACTGATAAAAAAAATATCTTAATCCAAAAATGTATTACTTTAAAAGGTATATTTCGTCAGATTGCCAGTATTGATATAAATAACATTTCGAATTTTAATCGACCTCAGCTGGCCACATTTATTGAACACGCTTTCACAACGTTGTATTAAACAATTAAAAAAAAACGGAACTGGTCCATAAAATTAATTGCAAAAATTGTGAGGCTTCGTATGTATGTTGGTCAAACCGAACGACATCTAACTACACATATCAAAGAAGACGAGAACAACATTAAAAAACACCCTAACAATCACTCAGTGGTCAGCGAACACCGCACGGTAACCGGACATGACTTTGATTGGTCATCCCCTGAAATTGTACATAATGAAAAGCACACAAAGAAAAGGGAGATAGCTGAAATGTTTCTCATTAAAAAAAAACCAAGAACGCCATCAACTTGAAAAAATGACACGGACAATCTTAATCCGACATATGACAAAATTATTAGCTTGGTCTAAAAACATCTCCGACTGTCTTGGTGTGTTTTTCTTATATGTGTATGTTTGTTACCCGACCTCTGAATATGAAAATGACTAAACAGTCTTTGTCTTACAATCATCGACTCCAGACGTTAGTGAAGTGGCTCTCGTTTTCAACAAATTGAGGCTGTAATTTCATTTGACAAACTCCGTAATAAGGTAGACCGACAATCTTTCTGCGATACTGTACAATTCGTTTATACTTCTCAGGTAAATTGTATGTTAAACATTTACTCCTAGATCTCACTTGATAAGGACCTAAACCAGAGATCGAAACGTTGTGAAAGCGTATCCAATAAATGTGGCCAGCTGAGGTCGATTAAAATTTGAAATGTTATATTACTTTACTCAAGAAAATTATTCATTAGGTGGCTCCTAATAGCTTGTTAACTTAAATAAGCAAATTAATACATGCGTTTCTTTAAATATCTAACAGTGTAGATAACTTTAAATTTAAACAATTTTACTTTAATTCTATCAAATGTTTACTAAGATATCAGTTTTACAGCGAAGAAAATTGGATTTCTTATTTGACAGAAACAATGATTTCATGTAATAAATAGTATTCTGTATCTTATGAAATCTTTAGTTGAATGTAGAAAATGTAATGATTTAAATTAATTTGCTTAATATAATACACAGATTTACTTGAAATTTAATATTTTTATTTAAATAGAATAAATATCTACTTTAAATAGTAAAAAAATAATTTTAAGTAAATCTATTGACTCAGTTTGCAAAAAAATTTTTGTCAGTGTATGAATTATTGGATACTCAAAAATTAAATGCTATAAAGATTACATTTTGGCGTGTGTGTGCGTTAAGTGATATAAAAAGAAAATCCTCGGGCTTAAATAAAATTCGGTACAAATTGAGATCATGCGGCGTAATTCCGCGTTAGTAAAAATATAGATGAAGCTTCCCTCTCTTACGCAAAGCGAGAGAGCGGTATCTCTCGCGTTGAAAGTTTACGTAAGTGGATACGCATTAAACGTTCACGTTACTGTAAGTGAGGCAAGCGCGCGATATTTCGTATAAAAATGTTATCTTTTTTTTTCTTGTTTCGTTGTTTGAAGAAGAAACAGAAAACTGCTTTGTCGCGCGTTACACGCCGCAGAGAGCGCAAACGCAAGGACGCGCGGTCGCCCGAGGAGCTTATTTGACGGCAATCATGCGAAATTAATTTTCGTGGCTGTCGCCGTGAAATTAACAGTTTCGAGCTGTGCGAATTCGTATTGATCAAACGCACGCAGTGATTCTTCCGTTGGAGGGGCGCTCGTACGTTACACATTTAACGATTTACCGCTACGCGCAAATAGAGGATCGTCGTTTTTCTATTACATTGGTATATTACGTGTGTACTTAGCACTCACGATTGGTCTCCGAGCGATGCCATTAACAGCATCGGTGTACCGTTATAAAGCCTGATAGGTTTTTTTTTTACAAACCGTTAAAAATATCACAATTTTTTTTCTGAGTGTTCTTTTTATCCGACATCATGACATTTTCGAGTATTTCGTTTCAAAGCTTTGCATTTCGCTAAAACTGAAATTGCGCTTTTTTTTTGGGACGATCAGATTTTGGAAGAAATTGTTCACGACTACGGCCGCGGTGGAAAAGTGCCGCGGTATACGAGTATAAGCGAGCAATAGTATATTTATGCATAAAATATCATTGCGGCGCCGGAAAAATAAAGATTACATTGATTTGAAGTTTTTACTCGCGGTTAACGTATATTTATATAAGATTAGTCATGCAATTGTCGCATGTGTCGCATGAAAAAGTAATAAACATTTTGTCGCATTTTTATGTAGAAAAGGATAACGTTTTATTACTTTTTGCGCCAGAAAGTGATAAAAAAAACGAGTAATACATTTAAGCGCAATTTGTACGTGCAAATCGGGACAATCTTGCGCTGTGTGTATACGAAATGGTCGATGTAATTTTTAATTTATCAAAGTCACGCGTATGTTTACCTGAATTAGAAAGCTAAAGCGGCGCCGCTGCAAAACACGTTCTGGGAAAAATTATAAATTCATCGTACGCGTTTCCTCCCCCCCCCCTGCCCCGAAAACTCTTCTCATTAAATATCTAACCCGCGAATACTAGAGCGCCCTGGTACACGTGTACTAGACTACACGCGTAATCCGTGTATTTAACTTATCCGTGTTTTAACCCGTACACGAATTTAAAGAATCTTCATTCACGTGAATCCGTGAACACGTAAATGTGACACGTGTTCACGAATATCCGTGAACGTGACACGTGTACGCGAACATCCGTGTATGTGACGTATGTAAACGCGTACGCCCCGACAGGGAAATTATTTAGAGAATTATGCGACGCAATCTGGATGAAGCTTAGAAGGCTGGAATTATGCGTACGTATTTTGAACAACACGTGCAGAAATAGGGATCTTTCGTTGAAAAATATTTGCACAATGCATTTCTAAATAGTATGTCGGCAAAACAGCTGCGTGTTAGCGGGGTCTACGGAGGCGTTTGTAAGTAAAAGTCATGCGAGACGAGATATAAGTAAATCCAGCAGTAAACACGTCCCAAGCTAAATCTTTTTTAAACATTTATTACACGTAACTGTGTTGCTGGGCAATTTTGCTTCGAAATGTCGAAATAATTGTGCACGATTTATCACCTAAATTGAGATTATCAATTTATGGCAAAAACCACTTAGAAATTTGATTCCTTCAAACCGCTGCGTTTTGGCGAATCAACTTTGTTGCAATTATTGTAAAATTTCCTCTTTTTGGATGATGCAATTATTGCACAATATTTAAAACACTTTCCTATCGGGGTAATAAAGTACTGTTAGGTGCCAAGTACATGCGTCAATACACGTACGCGTGTGATGTGTACACGCATTAAGCAACTTTACACATACTTATGCATGTAAATAAATGTTATAATACATGCATCATTTGATGTAAATTGCATAAGTATAATACATTTATTAACAATTAAATTAACTTAACATTTATTAATACTTTCACTTCTTTAACTCGAAAAACTTATAAAGTTACAAGATTGCATTTAAGAAAGTAGACTTCCATTTTGGTCTAAAAAAAACTAACATGTCGACATTTTCTGGCAGCAAACAACTTCTTTTTGAAGTGACAATGTTACCAGCCGCTGAGAGAAACATCGCTCTGAGCTTGCAGAAGACGTATACTTAAATACTTTCTGGAAAGGTATGCAATAGCAGGAAAATTATCCTTTCGAGCATTCCACCACTCAAATGGATCTAAGTCGAAACGTAATTGCGGCTCAGACAGATAGCGTTGCCACTGTGTGTCAATGTCCTGGCTATTGACCTCTTATTGATAAAGAAACTCCAAAGCACTATTCTTAGTGACAACTTTAGAGCACACATCTTCACTAGGAGCTACCGTTTTACGTGAGCTCCAATCTCCGCTCTTATCCAAATCTCGTATCCAATAGAAAGCTCTAGTGAATACGAGTGTCTTATTTTATGGCCGTTTATCGTAGCAAACCGCAGTGACGACTATTTATTCCCGAGGCAAACTTGGATTATCGACAGACGTCACAGTCGACTCGTCGCGAAATTGACGTATCTCATTGTCGAAAGACGATTCTTGCCGCCAAATAAATAAAAAATGTGTACGCTGTAAGCCGATATGAAATAAACGAGTGCCGATGTGTGGCGACGAAGTGACAGTTCAAGCCGGAGATAACCGTCATTTCCTCGATGTATCGTAGATACGTGCCGCCGCCGGGCGAGCAGATTTTCTGAAATTCTCCGAGGCTCATTCTAAATGTCGCGCGTGTCCAGTGATTTCTCAAATTCGCGCGTAACACGTGCGATCGTAGGTCTAACATCTCGCGCGGCAAGTTCGTCGAGTGCGCTGATTCGCTGTTCAATAGAGAATTTCTAGAGTCCCGACTGCCCTCTTCCACTGACAGCCAATTAACGAGTTCGGAAAAAATCTGTCACATGACAAACGGGATATCAGTCGTAAGATGCTTCTCGTTTCACGCGCGGTTGCGCATCGTTTATCCCTGTTATTTACCGGATGTTAAACGACGGACCAAATGATGCGTTACGCGTGAAACGGAACGCACCTTAAAAGTGAAAATAGTCGCGGCAGAATAACGTAATAAATTGTTTCTTCCCTAGTTGCATTCCTGGCACCCGTGTAACAGTGTGGCGGATTAAAAATGGCAAAAGTACTCGAGGCTCTACTACGACTGTGGCCTCAGTGGTTCGCAACTCTAATAGGTTAGTCAATTGACGAAATATTTATTTTAGTTTAGGACGAGAGGCCGCATTTCAATACAAGATCGATTAGTCCCAGTCTACAATAGATGATTTAAGCCCTAAGCTTTAAGAAATTGGACAATCACGGTCAAGTATGAGTAGAATGCGCGACTGTGATTAGTCAATTTCTTAAGGCTTAGGGCTTAAATCTCTATTGTAGACTGGGACTTATACTTTCGTGCGTCTCGTGTGTATTTTCTACGAGTTGAAACGTAAGCAGACTGAATTCGCATCGATTTGACGTAGCGTGTAACCAAATATTGTGCCGCAGTGACCCTGTTGTCCATCAGTATTGGTCTCGCGATCGGTTGGACGTCGCCTTACTTGGCACAACTGACCGGCGAGGATCCGCCGTTTCGGGTAACGGACGAAGAAGGGTCCTGGATAGCCTCTCTATTGCCTCTCGGCCGTCTCTTAGGCGCCATCATTGGGTCTGTCACTTTAGAATATATCGGTAGTAAGACGTCTGTCTTGTTCACGGGACTGCCGATGATCTTCAGCTGGATTTGCATAATATTCGCCACTTCCCCCGTATGGCTGTACGTCGCGAGGATATTTTCAGGTAACAGTATATCAGTTATAGCTGCAGCCATTTGCCGCAGTGGATTTCAATTGCTGCCAATAAAGTGTAGAATAAATCGATTCGTCAATCGTACCCTTCGTGGCGCTTAATCCTATTGCCCTTTAATCCCTAATACTTAAATTTTCCAATTCCCCTTTGGCTTATTGTCGTCTACATATATTCCGGTGTTTAATCAATCGCTTTCAATTTCGCGTCCATTATGCCTCTCATTTCTAAACTTAACTAAACTCAATCCAGAGGATTCGTAGTTAAACGTCTGTCGTGTACACCAGGTATATCGATGGGAATGATATTCAGCTGTTATCCGCTTTATATCGGTGAAATTTCGACGCCATCGATCCGCGGCGCCTTGGTGTGTATGATTATCAACGGACTCCCCATAGGCGCGCTCTTCGGTAACATAATAGGTGCGAATATGTCGATGATGTATTTCGGTATCATTAGCTTGATACTGACGCTATGCTACATGGCAATCTTTCCATTCTTGCCGCAATCACCGTATTACCACGTACGACGCAATGACACTAAAAGGTGAGTCGTCCTTTTATTTGTACAATTGTTTCACAAAATATAGATATTCCAAGTTGTATGCGACCGTCAACTTGGTTATTTAACGAGCCATGATTGATCCCAATTGATCCGACTGATTGCCTCAAATGACGAATGTTTATTCCCATCCAAGAATAGTATCTTTATTTGAGTAATTCACGTAACGAAGAAAAAAACGGAAGATTTTACTCTCGATGTATTTCCAATAAGAAATATTTCAAAATAGGTACACATATTGCGGTAATTTTCATGTTCGATAATAGCACGGTATATCACAGAAATTCTCGGCTAATTTAATGCATAAACTGCGGACGTTAAATAATTTATGGCAACGAATATATATATTTTATTAATATACAAGGTGCCCACTTTATCATAATTATATTTTTAAATAGAAGAGAAAGTTTTCAAGAAAAAATTTATCCCGATAAGTTTGTCCTATATTTTACAGATAACTCATTTCTCTCAAGTTCGTATTTTTTACCTTTCTGTTATTAATATTTTATAAAGTAAAGCTATGTATATTTTAAAAAATTCATTTCATTAATGTTGTATGAAAGTATCAAGTAGAACCTAAAAATGTGTTTTATATCAAGAATATATGGTAGATGTTTCATTCTAAAGTACATTAGCTTCCCGATAAAAAAAACTCAATACATACTAGGAATTAATTGATTCACGTAGATAGGAAAACGCAGCTGTATTTCATTTTTTGTCAATTGTCGACTAAATAGTCAATTCAAATAGTGAATCGAAGCGGAAAAATACACAATCAAGCTAGAAAATTTCACAAAACACAGCCTGTTCGGCAAATAAAATGTTTATATTCATTATATGATTTTAAAATTATAATTAATTTTGAATCGAAATATCTTTCGAGATGAATATACGACACAGAAAAAAATTATCGCTATACTGCGGCATAAACAGATATTACCAACCAATTTTCCAAACCTGTTATTCTAAAAAACTTTGTTTCTAAAAAACAGCGTTTACAATTTATATGTGGAATAAAATTAATGTAGTATGCCCCCAGCTTTTATATTCTTATAAAACCGCTTTAATTCGTAGAAATGATGAAGAAAGGGCAACAGATTCACAAAATATGACAAAGTACATTAAGTATTATAGGTAATACTTTTCTTAGCGTGAAAAAATCTCGTTAGTACTCATACAAAAATTAACGATTTGGAATTTTTTGAGGGAATATTTCACTCTTTTCAACTTTGAAGAAATTACTTATTTTGTCGTGTGTTTGAAGAAATGTTTACTTTCTGCAATTCTGTTATATTAGAAAAATATTTAACTAAGTGTTTGATATTAATTATGAATATTTAAAAATTATATTTTTTAACAATCGATATTAATTTGAATAACAATGCATGTCACATCTGTATGTACCCATTTACTTGTCCAATACATGTATAGTTTTCATCTCGCTATATCTTTTATACCCCTATGTTCTCTTTTTTTCTAGGGAATATGTGAAAAAAATATTTCATATATTTAAAAAATCTATATTAATTTGAATAACAATGCATGTCACATATGTACATACATATTTACTTGTCCAACACATGTATAGTTTTCAGAATTCATTTATATTATTTAAATTCCCTAGAAAAAAATAGAAACAGAAAAAGAAAGATATGGCAAGATGAAAGTATAACTGCAAATATAAAGAATGACATCATTCGACGATGATGGAATAATTACGACAATTGAAAAATACTTGGTATATTCTTGATATAATAAATTGTCTGTATAAGTCAACGATATTTTTATGTGTTATTACCACAATTCTAGAGCGGAACAAGCCATTCGATGGTATTATCGAAAAGTTGATGTAAAAAGCGAAATGGAGTCTGTGGAGCATTTTGTGAAGTCAACGTGTACAATGAGCATGAGGGAACGATTGGAGCAGATAAAAGAGCCGAAGAATCGTCGCTCTTTCATAATGATAATATTATTATTCATGTTTATGCAACTCAGCGGACTGAACACTATTATATTTTACATGGAGATTATTGCGAGAAAGGCAATGGTCACGTCGATCACACCTTCGAACCTAGTAATCATCGTCAGTGCAACTTGTATGTCTGAAATCGATACTAATTATTATCTCTTCTCACTCTAAGTTATCTTATATTGATCCTGTTGCTTCCACCACGAATTTATTGCCCTTGGAGTGAAATCTGTTCATTGTTAGATCGTGTAATCGTTGCGAAAAAAGATTTGTGATTGAATTTGAACGTTGAAGACCCGCTATCTCATATTAGAATCCTATCTCATATAATAGACGACTTTCCTCTACTAATCTTAAGACGTTTATATTTAATATTCGCCCACTGTCTAAAAAGCAATCAGTAGATTATCAATGAAAACAGGGAATAGTCACTGATTGATTTTTAGAGAGCATATTACTGTTAGCATTACAAAAATTAAACATGTATTCAATTATTATGCAGGTATAATTGTCGGCTGGGCGAGCGTATTCGCCATCGATCGTTGTGGTCGCAGAATCCTATTAGCGATCTCATCCTTCGGCGTGATGATCAGTATGGCGTTGTTAGGTTTGCATTTCGTCCTGCTGGACTATGACTTCGATCCCAGTAATCTGGAGTGGGAGGTGATCTTGGCGTTACTGCTGTTCCCGCTAATGTGTTTCGGACTCACACCAGTACCCAGCACGATGCTGAGCGAAATATTTCCGTCTGACTTGAAAAGCATGGCTGGATTCATCGGGGGCGTCACGGCGGCGGTATTCGCGTTCGTCGCCTCGAGGACATATCAGCCTCTGGTAGATCTCATCAGCGAGAAGTATGTCTTCTGGTTCTACGCAGTGATCATCATGATCAGCCTCGTGTATTCGCTCACCGTGGTGCCAGAGACGAAAGGAAAAACGCTGCAGGTAATTCGATCACATATTCCACATCATTACGCGGCATAGAAAGTTTTATTCTGGGTTTGCCATAAATGTTGCATGTTAACCATTGCCAATGTTAATAGGAAATTCAAGACATGATGGCCGCAAGAAGTGCCACTGATAGATCACAACAAGAGATGCGCGTTGAAAATGGAAGTAGTCAAACGTAGCGAATTTCGTAACTCTTTCAGAATATAGAATAGTATTTAATTTAGTTACGAGAGAAGAAGATATGTATGTGCTTTTTTTATAATACTGTATATACAACTATGATTTATATAAATAATTGTAAAAGGAATTATTTGTGATATAAAAAATAGCTGATTATAAACAACCGTATAAATCAGCGGAATAGATTCAAGATTAAGTACAAATGATTATTTAGAATTAGAAATGGAAAAAGATGAAACTGCTTGCCTAAAAATCTTGGTCATTTAGGTGAACAGTGCCATTTGAATTTTTTGTCGCGTATAAAAAATAAAAATATCAGCATAATCACATAATAAATTTCAAATTTATTATGTTCATAATAATAAAAGCATGCAGATACTCACGACATTCTTGTTTCACACACATACACACTCACCTCCACACACACATGCGCGCGCGCGCGCGCACACACAACAAAGACTTCTTAATACTTAATTAAAATTATATTACTAATACAAAAAATTATTCTCTGTAATAAAAATTAATCAAACTTTGTTATTATATATTTAAAAAAGTATACGATTTACGTAATTATAATAATCGGTCAACATTGACCGTTGAATTAAGAAAGAAAAAGTCACTATTAAATAAAGTACATATTATTGAGTTGAACAAAAAATTTTTTCATTTTTCTCTTTCTTAGAGATTCCAAAACAAACTTTATGTTTCAAGTCAAACATTGTTAAACAGAAAATTGAATATTTTTTTAGACTACATTTCTATGTTATTTTTCAGATCTTATTCCGATTTATCGAGTACTTATTGAGTACACAATTATGTCCAACAATCGACCCCTGTCTATTGAAAAAATGAAAAAACTTTTTGTCGAGTCCAATATAATTTTACTCATTATCGTTTAAGTTTAGATAGTCTTTCAATCAGGGATCAAGATTGAAAACCAAATTCTTTCTTTTGCCAAGTCAAAATCGGACTGAAATTCTGCAACAATTTATATCGCCAAGATTATAATCAAATCAAATAAATTACTTCCAATTTTTTAAATTCTCATAGTTTGTACGAAATTTATTATTTCTCTATTTGTGTTCTATTGGTTTACTTTTTTCATACCATGTACGTTTCCCTCATTTCTTTAGGTTACATTTCAACTGCTTATAAAATGATTCTTATATTCAGGTAAGACGTTCTACGTGATAAGAAATACGGCACAGTAGTTAATTATCTCCCAAGTATTACCTATTTATTATTCTTAAAAACGTGGGGGATTGATTGGCTACAGTATTACGTTTTATCGCGCAAGGCACATTTCTTCTGACGCGTGTGCAAGAACCGTAAGTTATTTAACCGCATATTGCGTTGTTCAGTTTATATCTTACGTGCTTGGCATCGACTGTTCTTCGTTTCAACGTCGTTTGTTTTATCCTTTACACATATAACCGTAAGTTAATTTTCAACAATATTAATAGACTGTTAACAATTTTGTATTAATTAGAAGCATTTACTTTCATTGAGAAGCATCCTTCTTTTTAGAAATCTTTAAGATAATTATAATATTTTATATTAGCATTATATAATTTCGTATTAAAATTATTGATAATATTAAAGAATGTTATGTATATATGAGAAATGGTTCATGAAAGCTCTTCATGTTATTTATTCTTTAAATAGATAGAGTTCTCTGAAGAGAACTCCATTGGATTGAAAACTTCAATATGTTATCGCGTTTGCATGATTACAAAAGTAGGAAACACAGTAACATAAACCGTTAATGTGAACTTTTTATATACAATAAAAAAGCTATTTCACAATATATTTGCATTTATCGTTACACTGTAAATATTATTTTAATTGTTTGAACTTGAATTTTAAATAAAAATGATTATTAGTAACTCATTTAATTATACTTACGATTTAACACATTTTCTAACAGAAATTACGAAACAAACTTTTTAAAAAGCATCTAACGCATTATCATAACTTTAAAAAAATTATTTTATTAACGTTTCATTAAGTAAATACAAAATAACTGACAACATATTGCAAAAAATATATTCAATTAATTATAATAAAATGGAGAAACGGATATTTTGATTTTCAAAATATTATAAATATTATAAATCCATTCAAGTATACGATAGAAAGAAAATTAAATAAACTATCCTTATTTCGCCGAAATTAATATAAAAAAATATTTTCGTAAAATTTAAATAAATTTGAATAGCGCGTAGTCATAAGTTTAAGTTAAAAGTTTTAATATAAAAGAATCACCAGAATCGTAATCGCAATGATTCAAATTTCAGAGTTGTAAACTCTTATAAAATTTGTGTTGCATAGAATTACATATAGTAAACTTATGGCTTCAAGAAACTCGACCTATCTACTTGTAGATCGAAATTAGGACTCGGATTTCCGTTTTTCGAATAAACGTTTAAACGTTTACTAAACGTTTAGTAAACGTTTAATAAACGTTTAATATACGTGTAAACGTTCAATATACGTGTAAACGTTTAATATACGTGTAAACGTTTAATAAACGTTTACTAAACGTTTACACGTATATTTAACGTTTACACGTATATTAGAGCCTAGTAAACGTTTAAACGTTTGTTAAGTAAAAATACGTGTATTCGGAAAAACGTTTCTAATAAACGGATAGCAAATTATACGTATAAACGTGTTTCCGTTTAAACGTATAATAGCGAGCCCTAATCGAAAACCAACATTCTCAAGATGGGTCTAGAAAGTCTTCCTAGCTAAAATTTACAATTCCCAAACAACACATAGATGTCTAAAAGACATCTTTGAGACGTCTTTTGGACATATTAAATCGAATTATTAAATAAATCCCCAAAGTCAATGACCTCGTTTTTTAGCTTGTGACAAAAACTATTAGGTATATGTAGTTTACAATATCATAAATTACAACGAAATTTGAATTTCTAGGTTGTACTCGTATATACTTTCTGTGTTTTTTATAAAAAGTTTAAGATTTCAAAATCAAATTCTTTATGTAGAATGTTAGAAATGGAATATAAAATGTGCAATCTGTGCATAAAAAAGAAATAGTTGAGTTTAAATCGATAACGAAGCATTCAAAATTCATTGTTATAAAATTTTTGAAACAGTTATTTACTCGTAAAACTATCGTAATATCCAATATATGCGATAAACAGCTATTGATATCATGTAACCGTAGGAAACGGAGGAATTTTTCCTTTACTCTTCGAAAACAACTTGAACTCTCTAACGTATGAAACTACTCAAAGAATTACTAAACAAAATACATGTTTTCTTTGTGTACGGAACATAACGAAAAAAAATCAATAGACATTGTAGAAAGGCAAAATGTGATCATTTCGGCTTTTGTTTCGGTTCAAAATGTATGCAAATACAATAAAAAATTTTTATCGGGTTATTTTATATTATTTAATTTTTCAAAAAGTACACTCAGTTGAATCACATTTTATTGTTAATTATTTTCCATGTATTTCATTCCATGTATTCCCTCGTTGTACGCTATACTTATTGTTAGACAAAGATTGCCCACATTGGACCAGTTTACAGTAAAAGCAAAATATTTGTTATTGAGAAAAATATACACAGTGCGTTATTTTGTGATTCATCAAAGCATAAACGTAATCTTACCATTTATTAATTTTTTAATAAATAACGCTATCAGTGCATTCCAGGAAACTTGTTACTAAACGTGTACCCAATTTGGACCGTTGGTCCTAGTATGGACACTACTATTATTCATTACAGTGTTTGCTATTAGTCGGTCGGTAATTAGAGAAAATATTTAACTAAAATCAACACACAAAACGTTGTAACTGGGAAACTACTTTCTGTACTGTACTCGACTCGGCAGCTAATTCAGACCAGTGTTGTCTCCCGTTACAGACTAAACGTCTCATTAAAAATGTCTGTCTTTACAACCTTTTAAAGTAGTAGTTTCTAAGAAACGGTCCAATTTGTTCAACCTTCCCCTTCTTCTATTCTAAACAACTGCATTGCGGTAATCGTGTTTGATAACTGCTGAAAGTGCGATTAAACCCAAAGTTGTATAATTGGGCGAGTAATTAAATTTTTTACGAACAAATTTAATATTAATTAGTTTGACGATACGATTTGCAGCATTTCGTTAATTTTCTTCTTGAAGATATTTGGTATTTCGCGTAGGTATCATATATCAGATCGATATCACTTGAATTATAAAAACGAATAGACTGCCGCTAATGTGTTTACGTGTTCTGGTATGTACATATGGTACAATCAAACTTCTGTACCGGAATACGTGAATTTTATTCGCTTGACAAACTTTAATCACGTGCAATTCAGAACTTACTAATTGTAAGGCCGAAAAATTTTTGAATTAGAATTTTCGATTATAATGAAATATCAGAATGCAATTCACATATAATAATTTAACATTTCAATAACATCACATCGACAAGCAGTAGCTTGCAAAGTACGAAAATTTGAAATGTTATAATAATGTAAAAACCTACGTAAAAATAAAATGCAATTACGTAAAATAGCGCAATTCAATGGCATAATAATTTCAACTATTATATCGTGAAAAAAGATTTCAATAATCCAAGAAGTGCTAAGAATTAATAGCTGCGTAAATAATTTTGTTGATTGATTTGATAGAGCGATAACAAAATTAACACATTTTTAAATACATTTTCCTGTTTACAACCGTATATTTCTAATTTTATGTCAAATTAGATTTTAAAGTTTTCAATTCTTTATAAACCGTCTAATCAAGATGAAAATTTAAATTGTATGTAAATTGTAATTTAACTTATATGTTTTTACTTATTAATAATATAAACGGAACAATTTAAAAATAGCCAAAAATCGCTTAGTTACATTGTAAACATTAATTAAGTAACTATTATATCTATAAACGTACGCGTAATTGGTTCTGAATACACACGTGAACAGTCTGCTATGTCAATGTTTAACTTTCATGACTTATAAGGCTGAAATTATTCCGATTGTGATAATCTTGCATTAGGACTTTTTTAAACATCAATTAATCTTTAGGATATGCAATCAAATTATGTGTTTGATATTTTTGTGTAACAATAAGATCACGTTTGTAAATGTAAATACTTCTATATTAATATAAATATAATATTAATGTAATTATAATGTATAATATATATGAGTATGACGTTAATATAATAAAAAAAGAAGGAAAACTCGAAATGTTGCATATATTTAACGACTTACGTAAAAATTAATAAAAGTATAATATTTCATATACATCTTGCATAACTCAATGTCAAATTTCGATTATTATCACTGCGGAAATCCGGTACTTCGACACAATTTGATAAGAATTATGAAATATTAATCGCGTAAATTATTTGAACAATGATATCGATACTAATTGATGTGATAGCACAATGATGTGTAAGGTTATTTCTGTCTCACATAGAAATATTCCATTAATATACATTGTATCTCTCTTATCTAGGACATAAAGTTAAAATTTTATGTAAATGATAATCACGTATCAATTAAAATTAAATTTTTAACATAATATGTATAGGATGCAGGGTGATGTGTTTAATTATAACGTACGAAATTAAACAAATAAAACCAAAATTTCTGTAATATAACTTGAGGTGTAAAAATGAAATAAAAGAGTGAGCGTTATATAATAATGATTAAAACTTAAGCAAAAATTAATAAAACTTTAATATTTCGCTTAATCTAACTGGAATTGTATATTGTTGTATATTAATAAAGCAATAATATAAGTTTTTAATTATAGTGTTGTTTTCTTAACTAACATACTATAATTGAAATACGAAATGCATAATTACTACACACAGAAAAATATTATTGTACAGTCAAGAAAAGTAATTACTCAGTTTATTTTATTCCGTATAAGTAATAGTTTGCTTCAACAAAGAATATTTTCTTAATAATAGTTTTAAGATATACTTGTTACTAGTCTTAGAAAAGCTTGCCATCTTATACTCAAAGAAAGAATTTATTCTTCTTTGAAGAAAATTATAAAACTTATTGAAGAATTCCGTATGCTTCTTTTAATAAAATCAGAAGAAACAAAATTGTTTTGCTTCAAATAATTCTATGTATTCTTGTACTAGATTCTATGTATTCAAGTACTAGACTTACTAAGAACCAGAATATGTTTTGAGTAAATATAACACTTGCGACGACATTATGATAGATTTGCGGATATATAAACTTATCAAATACTTGGAACAAATAATATTTACTTGCAGGTAGTATATATTTTTCTGTGTGTAGGTAACTTGAATAATGAATGATAAGACGTCACCAGTGCTGCAATTCTTCTGCAGATTACACAGCTGATTAAAAAATGCTTACATTATCTCCATGACGTGGAACGGTTCTTACGATTCGTTAATTTTCTAGTAGAGAAGAGAGTTGTATCTATCGAAAACGGCTCAGTCATAAGTAGTCTACAGTCCACGATGGATTATAAGACAGAAAAGGAAATTAAAAGAGTGCATTGGCCACAGTGGATCGCTGGTGCCGGAGGTATGTATTCCTTATACGATATTAGCGTGTTAGTATTATACTGTTGCCAATAAAATATATTCGTATTTAGTTGGAGGAATATCTAGTTGAATTT